ATCTTCGACATATAATGATACTTGAAGGGAAAGCATAATCTATCTTTCTCTATCCCTTTTCAGTCAAGTGGTCACTTAGACGGGTATGTCACCCTCCTCTGGATTGATTTAATCCAAATGTGAACGTGTCAATGTAAATATACAATGTAATTTAAAACCACTTGATTAAAGATAATAAAAATATAAAAAAATACTTCATATACATCTCTTTAATGAAATTCTATTGAGACATTTAATATCCACAATCTTTAGGTGCATCAAAATAGAGAAGTATAACTTTTCATATTTGAATCCAGGGCGTTGTGAGAATAATTAGGACCTCATTATCTCAGTACACATTCTAACAAAGAACTATTTCATGTCATATAGGCTTTACACTTGGTTGATTAGTAATATCATACCAAATATATGTCTCTTTGTCAAATATTAAATTTTATACCTGGATTACTTGTACGCATTTATGCCAATATTCTCATTGCTTTCATATTGCAATAGATTATGGTTCGATATCATCGTGCTCTATGCTCCTTTGAGCAACTGTATAAATATATCGTCAATATAAGTGTAAGGTCTATCACTCGACTCATACACACTCTCATTAACATTGAGATTTTAATTCTCTGAAATCATTTAAACTTTGGGGCGTCCCCCATTATAAATTCATGGACATGTTGAATCAGAGATAATCTCATGAGAGGAATTCATATGATGACGAGTATATTGGTTTGTGCCTTATCTACCCTCTACTACTTGGGGTGGATAATTAATCAAACCATGTGGCTTCCCTCTATTCCTTTAGAGAGCCACGGCCTCAACCACAACACCACTGCTTGTGATTGCAATGCTTCTTACTTTAGCATTGTTTCTTTTAATTTAAATTCAAGCCTTATAAATATGTTTGCAGCTAGTGTGTATAATCTGATTACTTAAATCATTTATGATACCACTTTAACTTCAATGTTACATTTTGAAGTCTAAGATTTATCATTGAGACAAAGTAGTGATGTGCCATCATAATGATTTTGTCATTCAATTAGAGAGTTCTTTCACTAATCTCCCCTAATGACAGGAAAATCAATTGTCTCATCAAAGTCATATCCCGCAAAGCGGTGTACACATTATTTGTTAAAGCTAGTAGCGGATTATTGTTGGGGATTCATATCCAACATAAACATCATTTTTCTTTTAAAACCGATTATAGTGCGTTGTGGGAGACGCACTAGGCACAACTATTTAACAACCACATAGTCATAAGTAGAACATCTCAGGCTAATATCCAGTCAGTAACTGGTATACATAAACGTGGTTGTCTAGTATCGGTTTTAAAAAAAAGTGTAAGAGTGCTTGCATATTGCATAATCCCATAAAAAATATTATTGTGCGCATAATAGATATAATATTCACCATCAATATTCTTTTAGATGTGATTTTTACTGAGTTCTTTTTTTCCATTGATCTCGAAAAATATGCAATAATCATCAAATACTTTTGATGAGAACTGTCTAGCAGTATCAAGTCATATAGACTTGATTGGTCGGGTGGTGGACCCTTAAACAAATAAGTTTTGCTAGAAGTTTTACAAATGCAACATTTTTATGTAACCGAAAAATAGATAGTATGCGTAAATTTCTACCAAAGCATAATTACTTAAATGACCCGCATTTTGGTAGATATGTTCTCATGTGTCAAATTAAAAAAATGAGATATCTTCATTTTTATATCATTAGCATAGACAAATCTCGATTCCATTGTTACTAAGGAGTAAACTTTAAGAAATAACTGACGTGCCTTCTACTATATCTGTAAGGCGTAACGAAAGGTAAATATTTCTTCTCGTACTTTAGAAGATTGATATTGCTTTCTATTTATCAATGCTAAAACCAACAATTTACATGGTGTTGGATCCTATTTCATCCTTTATTCGAATGATTAATAACTTGAATGAGTTATTTCAATGTTTGTATGAGTCAATGACCATTTTGTCTCATAACCTGCTTAAATATGCATTTTCTTTTACATTTATTATCACAATATAATATTGTTTTTCTATCTCATTTTTATTATAGTGAATTTCTATGTGAAAACCCATAGAGGGTAGCTCGGTGGACATTGATGTCCTCATAATGTGAGGGTTTAGGGAAACCCCACAAAGGTGTATAAGGGGCAAGTTTTTCTTGTCACATTGACAAGACACCACTCACAAGAATTGAACCCATGACGTGATTTCATCTATATAAAATCATTGTGGTGAACAAATTTAAAACATCGTAAACTTTGACAACTTCTAGATGTATTTAGAGGTCAAGGAGAACACAATTCTATTCATTTAGAAATTAAATATTTAGGCAATTCATCGCCCTTAATCGATCATAAATGAAAATAAGGAATTACTTCAATAAATAAATATTTATTCCTTAATTTATTGTGTTTAATCACAATTGACTAAAACATTTATTTGTAATAGGTTGTAGTGATTTGTAAATTTCACTCATATACTTTAGAGTGTTATGATCTCAAATATAATGAGGTACACATCATTCTACTATGTTATGGATATGGTAGTGAAACAAATCAATTTGAAATCTCATATGCACAAATCATTAAAAGTAGTCTAATTAAAAACAAGTTAAGTCGCTATATAAAAAAAACTATTGTCGATTGATATATACATTTAAGGAATGAAAAGATGACCATTAGATTCATTCATCAAGGATGGTACATATTCCTGATTTTTGATGTAGTAGGTATCCATAAAACTAAGTTCATGGTATCCTCGATCTTATGCAGTAGCTTTCAATCATTTCATCTTCACTTAATACCTTAACACAAAATTTAAGACATGATTTGAGACATTGCATATCCTTATTAAAATCATTAACTTTCTTGAAGTCAATGAGGGGGAATTTCATTCCACAATTCTTATATGTTCCCAAAGTGTCGTTTCATTGCATTCCTCCATTCTTTGGGGGTTAAATTCCATGAGTAGGCTGAGGTTATAATGGCGCCTATGAAACATTAAGACGTTACCTTAGTTTTCAGATGGTGCACTTTCCAACTTTGAACGTGATAGAGTTGTTTTGTCCAGAAAGGTAAATTTGAACATTAATTATATATCGATGGTACTCGAGTCTTTCTGAGTCCAGAAAACTAAAATTCAAGTCGAGATTGATCAGCCATCTTAAAAAATAATAATTGTGTGTGTACTTGTATTGGACACTTGTATATGATATCAAAATAGAAACTTGTGTATGAAATAAAAGATGTCTTTGTGTGAGAACTCTATCACACAAATAGTTTAAATGTCATGTAACAATACACAAAATAATGCATCATATATAGCATTGATATAATGTCTGGTATTTGGTTGATGACACGGTAAAGCATTATCAAATCAATTTGCTAGTTTCAATAGATGCTTATACATTCAGTAACAGGAAAGTGAAAATTTTGGCTAGACAATACTGTGACAGTCCATAGCCAATTAGGCAAACATATTCATGTATGACACACCTCAAAATTGAAAACAGGGCCAAAGGGATTCAATTTCTCAAAATCTAGAATTTTAATGGGGTTAATTCAACTAAAATGGGATTTGGATAGTCATAAATTTTGATGTAGCTGGTCTATGTGAATGTTACCAAGAAAACAATTGTATATAAAAAAATACCTGGGATTTGGAATTTGAGAGAAGGTGAATGTGAATATGGCAGAGAAGAAGATTTCATACGACTCACAAATCAGAATTGAGGCCGATATTTCACTTGGCGAGGTCTGGGTGCTGTTCTTCTTGAGTGTGTACACCAGATCTAATCTTCGTGGATGTCTTGGGATACTTTTGTAGCAGCAGCAGCGAGTACATGCTCCTTTTTGTTCGCAAGTTGGTAATAAACTCTAGATGAAAGTTTAGGCGCTCACTAGAGAAATGTAGATTAGATCTTCTGTCTCATCGTTAGGAGATGTAGATACCCTCCAGCTGTGGCCGAAGGTATACGAAAGGCGAGCGATGTCGAAACTTGGAAGCTCGTCGACAGGTGGGCTGTTTTGGAAGCTCGTCGCTTTGACTTTAGGCGGTGGTGTTTGCATCGGCGGGATCCAGGGCAGCGGTGCGTGACTCAGTGGGGCAACCGACTCAGAAGGGGGCAGCCGGCTGAAGGGACCGTCGATGGCCTTTGTTGGAGGCAGCGGCTGAGCAACTCTCCAGCGACGACTTCCTTCTAGCGAGAACGAGTGGCATACAACGAGCGAGCTTCAATATGGATCCTTCTTTTAGAGGCGGCGCTTTTCTTCTCGATGAAGAAGATCATGGCGGCTGAAAAAGTGAGGTGGTTGGAGTGGAGGCCGACTGAGTGGGGTGGCCTGATGAAGGGGCGGCCGACTGAGAGTGGCGGCCGTTTGTGCTACGGCGGAACACAAGGGAGAAGGAGAGGGAAAGCTAGGGTTAGGATTAGGCTCCTGCTCTGTTGTAGGAGAAGGTTCGTAGAGTTTCATTATCGAGAGCCCTATAAATAGGGATAGAGTAGGGTTTACAAGTACGGGCCAATAGGCCCATAATACATCATTTACGTAGAAAAACTCTAATACATATTCTATCTAAACGATAGCACACAACATAGAATTTCCTTAAACAAAGTAATGAATTTGAAATGATAGCACGATTTATTCAATCCTTTTACCTTTAAGTTATATCTTCATAAAAATGGTTAAATAACAAAGAATGAACCCATGTATACACAAAACTTTTTAAACTGTTTACACACAATATATAATCCTATTCTAAAGTGTAATGTAAAGAAAATTAAAAAGATATTTGTTTCCTCACATATAGTTTAATATACTTATTTCTGCTATTTTTTTTTTAAATTTCAAGTGTGTTTACAATATTTTGTTTATCTTACAAGTTTAATTTTTTCTTAATGAAATGATAATATATTTTGTGAAAAACATGACAAATTGGAATTGGATCTAAATAAACCAAATCAATTATTAAAAGAACACTTGAT